TGGGTATTTGAGTTGTGAATTTTAGGAAACAAGTTTAACAAGGAATGCAAAAGATATCAGTTTGATGAAGCTTGGTATTTTAGATTTTGTAATTAATTTTCCTTAACTTATTGTATAATTTTGTCATATAATGTCAAATGGGGAGTTTGTTAGGTTTTCGTGTTAGCAATTCTGTGGACAAAATGACTTAATTTGTAACATGTTGTAAAAGTCAAGGACTTAGGGTGCAATTTGTATAAATTGGGTTATGAGGACTAGGGTTCGAGCATGAAAAGAGGAGAAACACGGCGCCGCATTTTCTCTAGATTCTCGCCTAGTTGGCTCGCGAGCCATAAAAACAGAATTCCTGTCGCCGACTCGAGCGACAATGCGTCGTTCGCCTGTTGCTGAGCCCTCGCTCGAGCGGCAAGTCAATCCAAAAAATCCTATTTTGCTGTTTTGAAGTATTTTTTCTGGCTAATCAACCTAATTACCCTTCTATAAATACCCAAGCATATGCACGAAAATTGGGATGGTTGTTCATTGTGCCTCTTCTCTATAACATATTCAAGAGCATATTCATACATTGAATTCATCATTTCACTCTTGAGTTTATACAACCACATATTTGGGAAAAACTTGAAACACATTAAATCCAAAACACCACCTACTTCCTATTAGTCATAGGAATGTACTCTCTCAGTTGAACTTCAGAGGCTGCTGGAGGTTGAGAGAGGTTGGACTACAATCGCAGAAAGAGCATAAGGCCTTGGAGCAGGTTCTTGGAATTTCGCTGGGAAAAGACAATTGCAGAAGATCTTGAAGCAGATCTTGGAGCAGGTCTTGGAGCAGACCTTAGAGTTAGTAGGAAATAAATCGTGAAGTCTAGTGGAGTTGGCTAGATAGCATCTGACTGTAACTCACTTTGTATTGTCTATAGTGAAGGTAATTGGCTTGGTCCCGGAGTTTTTACCCGGTTAGGGTTTCTCCGTCATCATATCGATGTTTATTATTGCTTTCCTTATTACTGCGGTATTCAAATATAGGATAATTGGACTTGTATGCTTAATCATCTAGAAACAATTAAAAGTAACTTGTTACTTTTGATTGATTAATTCCGCACGTAGGGTCAAAACTAAAAACGGATAAGTAACAACCATTCGATAACTTAAAAGCAATTAAATTGATAATCCATTAACTATTAAGTGGTATCCAGTGCGACGCCCGATTTTTCAATAACAAACAAAGTTAATTTTAGTTCTAACAATTGAATTTAAGTCTTCAAAACATTCAATATAATATTGATCGATCAAAGACCAAAAGATTTCTATCAAGATTTTCTCAATAAAAATTGGACTCACAATGAAGGTGGAGATGAAAATCGAGCATTCAAGTCAAAATCATTTGAGACGAGCTTCAAAAATCAAACGCCAAAGGAAGATCTTAGACTAGAAGTTTTTATTCATTTGTAAAAGTATAAACGGTTCAATCTTTAGCAATGAATAATTAAATATTTACAACAAAATTTTAATGCACGAAAAGTCATTTTCATAAAAATGCTTGCATAAATATTTTTCAAAAGTGAGAATTTCAAATTGATAATTGAACTTAGATCACATTTTACAATATCACTTACCTTAAAAAATAAACTGACAACATCATTCAAATGCCTACATTTTTCAAAGCATTCAAGTCGGGAAAATTGATGGAACATTTTGTCAAAGCGGACGTCCGGTTCATCCAACCGTTACTTTTTTTACCATTCTGATGTTTAAAACGCAACGGCTACTTTGTTCGTCCGGTTCAAAATGTGGATGTCCGATTGCTTGTCCGATCTTATAGATATTTTTACATTAAACTCTATAAATACATTCACTTTTTGCATTCATTGCAATACTTTCTAAGAGCATTAAAATGAGACATTCTTAAGAAAAATTCTTTAAAAGCTTACATCTTGTTTATTTCATGAAGCATTTGCTTTGAAAAACTTTTGATTAATTGAATCAACTTTTTAAAATTATCTTTGTCATCAAAGTTTTTCTCATCTAACAGTTTAGCTTCATTTATTGATATTCATTGAAGTGTTAACATATCTTAGTACTTAATTCATTCGTATCATTTATTAAGAAAGAGATTCAAATTGTAAAAACATTCTTAAAACTTATGGGTCGTATTGAGGTCACGTAAAGTTCAATATTGTATAAAAATCAGTGCTTCTTGTTTATAAGTCATCAGAAGCTTTGTAAGGGTTTGAATTGCATCACAAGTCAATCAATATAGTGAAAAGACCTTGCTCGTGATAGAGAGCTTGATAATGAAGAACATAGATTATTGTTTTGGATCGAACCTCCACAATTATATTGTTTGCACAATCTCTTCCGTTTTATCTCTCGCTTTTATATTTGTGCATATTACTTGATTGATTCCTTCATAACTTATTTAAATTTGGATAAATTTCTCAAAAATTTTTTGAAAATCAATTCATCCCCTTCTTGATTAGTTATTATTGCGATATCACGCACCACCGCCCTACCCTCACCACTACCGCTATGACCACCACAACCTCACCAGATCACGCAAAACCACAACTACAGCAACCACCACACCCCATAGAAACCACAACACCACCGTACACCACAGCAACCGCAAAACCACTATCACAATACCCACAACACCACCACATACCAAACTCGGGCACCATCATCGCTGCCAAATCGCGACATCATCAAACACCTGGCCCAGATCACTAGCGAAATGTGAACCACAACCACCTCTATCCCTTCTCTTCTCCGACCCCAATCTGCAAAGCCAGCCACATGTGACCAAAGAAAAAATGGGATCACAACCACCACCATTCCTTCTCTTCTCCGACCCCGATCTGCAAAGCCGACCACATGTGACTAGAGAAAAAACGGGAGACAAACGAAAGGACACCCGATCTGTAGCCCCCCAATTTGTAGTACCTCTGATCTGTAGTACAGCGCAAGCAGCGGCAGTCCAACACATAACGTAGTGCGCAACGATCACACAGAGTGGCATTGACATTCACTACGCTGCGCGCGTTTTGCACTATTTTTTTTTTTTTTTTAGTTTTCTTCTTCCGCTGTGGTGGTATCCGATGGTGGTTTTCGATAATTGCAAGAGAGAGTGGAGAAAATGTAGAAACAAAAAATTTCCACCTTCAGCCACTGTTCATGCCACGTAATGATAGTTCAAATTCCTGTAAGAATTCGGTAGAAATTTTCTGTACCTATAGCGTTTTTGATGTAGAAAATAGAGAGAAATTTAGGGTTTGGGAGTGAAGTGGAACCCGACACATAACGCCGCACGCAACGATCGCACACAGTAATTTCGACATTCACTCCGTTGCGCACGGTTTACACTATTTTTTTTAGTTTTCTTCCTCGGCTACAGTAATATGTGACAATGGTGTCCTATAGTTGCTATAGAGGGGAGAAAATGTAGAAAATAGAGAGATTTAGGATTTGGGAGTGAAGTGGGATGGACAGGGTATGTTAATTAATTTAATTTATAATATTAATATTAATATTAATATTAAAAGACGAATCATCATCTAATTTTTGAACAAAAATTCTTTAAATCTAATTTTTGAATTGTGTATTTTAAAACTCTGGGTAGGGGTGTAATTTCCTCTAAAAAAAACTACTAAGGTTGGAAGTTGGGTATTTTATTGTAATTTGAAAAAACAGCTTAAGATTGTACTTTATTTTATTGTAATTTCCTCGGACCATTTTTTATTTCTTCTACTAAACTAAACAAACAATTGATGTTGAGACCTCTACAGACTACAATATTGTAATAGAATTGCTAAAATTTTCACTATTTAACCCTAACTTTCAATTTTCAGTTTCCTAATTGGTCCAAATGTCTGTCCATTAAGTTTAGTAAGGAGACAATTATTTCCCCTTAATCTAACAACAAAAAAATTAAAAA